ATGAAGTTAACCCTTCCACACACCAGCGCCTTCGGACGGCTTCGTGCCCTCCATCGACCGACCGATTCGCGTCATATCCACAATACGCTCCGAATGTCCCGTCGGATCACGACACCGCCGTTTGGGTCGTGTCTTCAGAATACATCGCGTCGTCCTCCTCCTCCTCGCTCCCAGAGTAAGGTCCGGATTTGGTTGGTGGTGTCGTCACCATCGATGACGACTCTTTCACCGCCAGAATCCTCCTCCACAGCGGTTCGGCCTCTGTGCAGTTTGGGTGTATCGCTCTTATGGATACGGGTTATCCGCAGTCTGTTATTAGTGCTTCTGCATGGGAATCCATGAAAGCGGCTTCGACTGCTTCGACGTTGTCTGAAAAACACACCCAACCTCGCTGTTGGGGTGGTTTTGGGAAATCTGCCCCGCTCCAAACTTCGACCGTTGTCCGTTTGAGTGTTCAGTTTCTCCGTGAGAACCTTCCTACTTCCTCTCTTGCTGTTTGGGCATACGTTGTTCCTGACGGCGTCATGCATCATGACGTGCTCCTCGGCAGAGATAGTTGGATCCGGTTTAGTGACCGTTCTTACCGCACTTTGCGTGCGAAACGTCCTGGTGACCGTGTCTTTCGTGAGCTTACTTTAGCCCAACATGACACTTGTGGTGCCGCTGCATTTGCTCACGATCTGTCCGCAACAGATGGAAGTTTCCAACTTCGCTATGCAGGCAAACATTCCGTTCAACCTCACCCAGAGCATAGCCTCATTCAGGTCAATTTGGTGCGCAATGATGGTTCGCCTGCCCTTGTGGGTAACTATTTGGTGGATATGCTCCCCCAATGTGCTATGTTTTCTTCCGAGGAACATTTTGTGCAAAATGGTTGCCAACGAATCCCTCTTGCGGGCATCTCGTCTCTCGAACCCGGCGACGTCCTGGGTACAGCTTCGGCTCCCCTGCTTCGCGTGCCTCTTAGCGCTGTTTCTCGCCTCAGTTTGAGTGATGGTCTTGAAACTGCGGCTTCAGAATCCACCGCTGCTTCAGACAGCTGGGTCCCTGGTCCTGTTTCTGCGGGTGGCATTGATTCGTCTGCCACGCACTCCCTCTCTGACCCCTTTGAGTATAATTTAAACGAGCGACCCATCCCGTCGCCAAGCGACCGAGGGGACTTTGGTTCCTCCAGTTCTCCCTCTTCGTCGCCTCCGCCTGCTCTTCTCTAGCGGTTGACGCCAGAACAGCGTCAAAGTTTCTCTCAAGTCTGGGATACGCTCCCCTACCATCTCCGTGAGATTACTTTTGATCTCCACGGCCCGGGTTGGACTCCCGATGTCATTACTCAGCTTGGTAGCGTTTTGTGCGAATACCATGATGTGTTTTCGAGTTCTCCGACCGACTTTGGATCTTGTTCGCTTTTTCCGTTTAAGCTTACAGTTCCTCCTGGCAGCGCACCCGTCACGTCTCGCCCCTACCGCGTTACTCCCCGGTGGCGAAACAAGTTGACGCGATCCTTGACCAATATCTTGCGGCAGGTTTGATCCAACATTCGACCTCGCCTTACTCGAGCCCTTTGGTAGTCATACCGAAGAAATCTGGTGGTGTTCGCATCACCGTCAATTTTAGTAAGCTCAACAAGCGTTGTGCTTTGAGTCAGCTTTGGATTCCTCGAGTCGATGATACTTTGGACAAGTTGTTGAGAGGGCGGGTTTATTCCCTTTTCGACATGAAATCTTCGTTCCACCAAATCATGGTGCACCGCGATACAATCCCTTTGACGGTATCCGTGACGTCTTCCGGGCTTTTCGAGTGGTTGAAGATGCCTCAAGGCAGTTCGGCTGCCCCTGGGTGGTTTTGCAAAGCTGTCGACGAAGTCATCAAAAATCTCCACGGTGTTGCATCGTACTTGGATGATTTGATCGTCGTTGATGACACCCCTGCTACTCATGTTGGTACCATGCGCGCACTCTTTGAACGCTTGCGTACGCACAACTTGAAACTCACGCCTCCGAAAGCTACTATTGGCGCTACTGAAGCAGACTTCCTCGGACACACCATCTCCCCTGACGGCGTTAGGCTTAACGGTGCCAAGGTTTCGGCCCTCACCAAAATGCCTATGCCCAGGGATGTCAAGCAACTGCGTTCCCTTCTCGGTGGTCTCAGCTACTACCGTAAGTTCCTCCCCAACATGGCTAAACGCATTCGACCACTGACTACTTTACTCCAAAAGCAGGAAAAGTTCCCTGCCGATGCTTTGCCAACTGTTGTTTGGTGTCACGACCCCTCTTCTTCTTCTTGGCTTCGCTTCCGAAACGTTTAGTTTCCGGCCTTTTTGGTACGTTGTGGTGCTTTTGTACATTTTCGTATATTTTTGTCTCTACTTCTTAGAGTTTGCGGGCTGAAGGTCTTTCGTGACCTTTGTTGTCGCTCCCACGCTACCGTGGTGATTATTTGGCGCATCGTATCGTTTTTTCGATACAGGCCTTTTTTTTTCTTCACCGTTCCTTTTTCGTCGCTCCGGCGACGCTTATTTTGTTTTTTTTTTNTGGCGACTGCAGGGGCAGCGATTTCGTCGCTTCCTGCTGTGCCTGCGCGCCAAGGAAAATGCTGTTTTGTGTCGTTTCTAGGTTTACGGTATCAAAATTCAATCGTCCGCGGACCCCTACTCGTATGCGGTGTTAGTAGTTCATATAGGCCTCCACCCCAGCTATCATTCACCTTCGGGACTCTTTTGGCCACGTTCTACCCCCATTGAGCCTGCTCTGCCTGAAGGCAGGGTACATTAAGGGGGGGGGTATGCTTCTGTCTCAAAAAAAGACTGCTACTAGCAAAACTGCTGTGCTAGGCAACTGCTGTTTCATGCTGAATTCGGCATTGTTGTCGGAATCAATTGGGGATTCAACTGCAATACGCAGTGGCAAGAACTCGCATTGATCGGCAGCCTGCACTCGCCGTTCGAGGGAGTTCATGCGGACCTGGCCCTTGCCATTCCGCGGGCCGGTTTCTAGGCCAAAAATCGACATTTTGATCTCAACTCGAGGTTGTACGTGATTGCCAGCAATGCTGCGGGCGATTCCTCACCCCAGCATAGGACAGCGGTGGGCATCAAACACTACCATTGTGCACGAGCTGTCTGCTAAGTGGTAAGCCCGAAATGTGGCCTCTATTGTAAGGCCTAAAACGGCAGCAGCCAGCGTGGTCGGCATGCCAAAATCGTGTGGTGCGAACTCTACTCACAGCCACCCAAACTTCAGGAAGGGTCTATCTGGGTACCATGGTCGACTCCTTACCTTGTTGGTCCGCCATGATGACGCTGGAGCAGATGACGCCGATGGCCCACAGCAGCCGAGTTGTGATCGTGCTCAAATTATATGCGACCCCGCCTGTTTCTGCAACTCTGTTTGGGCCACATGCCACAGCCCTGTTAGTTCTCTTTTTGAAACCGTCTGATTTTTTTTCGTCGAAATGACCTGTAATTGTCAGAGGGAAGCTGCAATCCCCAGCTGCCTTAATTAATTACTCGCTGAACGTCGTCGACCGTCGGTCGTCATTTTAGCTACCAAACAAATACCCGATGTCAGGAGTACTGCTTGTTGCACTGCGGCGGNATATTCCGCAACATCCAGGATGCCAATTTTGCATTCCAACGCCATCATCATGGATAAAAAACTCCAAAGCGAAATAAGAACCCAACATATGCATATAATATCAAAGAACAGACGTCACACGTCCAGCACATATTAACACCAGTCTGCCGTATACTGGCCTACTTGGGAAGGTAACTTGGTACTCCGCAAGGGTTGACTCGTCGGGTACCGGTGCAGAGGAGGGATAGAGACACCGTGCGTGCCCCCAACCTCTCTACCCAGTACGTCGAACGCCAAGCCAACGCCTACGTATAGTCTATCCAGTATCACCAGAAAAGCACAGCGGGAACTACCATAGAGAATGTTATTCCAACAAAGAAGGAAAAACAAAGTGGAAAAACCGCGTACGCAGAACTATCCTACCACCAATTGAGATATGTTTCCAGGCAAACAATAGCCCCCCTGCCGCGACATTCCATTTTCCTCCCAGAAAANGTTGCACTGCGGCGGACAGTATGGTATCACAATCACCCCCCATGGTTTCCGACAGCAGAGTGCAACAATCAGGCGAGATTCCGCAACATGCAGGATGCCAATTTTGCATTCCAACGCCATCATGGATAAAACTCCAAAGCGAAATAAGAACCCAACATATGCGTATAATATCAAAGAATAGACGTCACACGTCCAGCACATATTAACACCAGTCTGCCGTATACTGGCCTACTTGGAAAGGAAACTTGGTACTCCGCAAGGGTTGACTCGTCGGGTACCGGTGCAGAGGAGGGATAGAGACACCGTGCGTGCCCCCCAACCTCTCTACCCAGTACGTCGAACGCCAAGCCAACGCCTACGTATAGTCTATCCAGTATCACCAGAAAAGCACAGCGGGAACTACCATAGAGAATGTTATTCCAACAAAGAAGGAAAAACNCAACCTCTCTACCCAGTACGTCGAACGCCAAGCCAACGACTACGTATAGTCTATCCAGTATCACCAGAAAAACACAGCGGGAACTACCATAGAGAATGTTATTCCAACAAAGAAGGAAAAACAAAGTGGAACAAACCGCGTACGCAGAACTATACTACCACCAATTGAGATATGTTTCCAGGCAAACAATAGCCCCCCTGCCGCGACATTCCATTTTCCTCCCAGAAAAACAATAATCTACCATGGAAAATTCCTGCTTGTGTCCCTGCAAGGTAAAACGCCAGTGGACATCTCTACAGAACAAAACCAAAGCAAACCCAAACCTGCAAATGTGCCAACGATAGGAAAAAAATTGTAGACATTCAAACAACGGTGAAAAGTGTAGCAGCTGTATTGGGCGGATCTGAAGACCAAACGCAAAAACAAAAGATTCCACAACATCAAATCAAAACAAAATGGATACGCACTCAAACTTCACGTGCCTTGGCGAGATTAAGACCCCAGCAGAAGTCGCGCTGCTTGCCGTCATTGTCGGACTCGCCCGATCCTCCGAAGTCCCTTCCCCGCTTCACGGAACTCCGGCCGCTGCTCCGGTCGCGAACACGGGCGCCCCGACCGTTGCCCCCGCGATATCTTTCCACCACGGTCAAACGAGGTGTTCACCCCCAGCAACGGCCCCACTCTCCCAGCCTTCGGCCGCCACNTTGCAAGGTAGAACGCCAGTGGACATCTCTACAGAACAAAACCAAAGCAAACCCAAACCTGCAAATGTGCCAACGATAGGAAAAAAATTGCAGACATTCAAACAACGGTGAAAAGTGTAGCAGCTGTATTGGGCGGATCTGAAGACCAAACGCAAAAACAACAGATTCCACAACATCAAATCAAAACAAAATGGATACGCACTCAAACTTCACGTGCCTTGGCGAGATTAAGACCCCAGCAGAAGTCGCGCTGCTTGCCGTCATTGTCGGACTCGCCCGATCCTCCGAAGTCCCTTCCCCGCTTCACGGAACTCCGGCCGCTGCTCCGGTCGCGAACACGGGCGCCCCGACCGTTGCCCCCGCGATATCTTTCCACCACGGTCAAACGAGGTGTTCACCCCCAGCAACGGCCCCACTCTCCCAGCCTTCGGCCGCCACAGCTTCCCCGGGGGCGCATCAGTGCCCGAAACCAGGCCACATCCATCCCCGCTGCGTCGTCGTTGCTACTGCTGCCGCTGCTGCTGCTGCTGCTGCTGCTGCTGCTGCTGCTGCTGCTGCTGCTGCTGGAGCCATCGACCAAGTCTTTCACCCCGGGATCGTTGGCGCCCCGAACCCCCGAACACACGGCGCCGGGATCGAAAGGGTGCGTGGACGCCCTCATCTAGCCACAGACGCTGTCATCCCAGCAGTCACCAACCTCACCTGCCCACCAACTGCCATCATCACTGCCGTCGTCGATGTCATTGCCCACCGCTCCTGCGTTGCNAATACGCACTCAAACTTGATGTGCCTTGGCGAGATCAAGACCCCAGCAGAAGTCGCGCTGCTTGCCGTCAATGTCGGACTCGCCCGATCCTCGGAACTCCCTTCCCCGGTTCACGGAACTCCGGCCGCTGCTCCGGTCGCGAACACGGGCGCCCCGGCCATTGCCCCCACGATATCTTTCCACGGTCGAACGAGGTGTTCACCCCAGCAACGGCCCCACTCTCCCAGCCTTCGGCCGTCACAGCTTCCCCGGGGGCGCATCAGTGCCCGAAAACAGGCCACATCCATCCCCGCTGCGTCGTCGATGCTACTGCTGCCGCTGCTGCTGCTGCTGCTGCTGCTGCTGCTGGAGCCATCGACCAAGTCTTCCACCGCGGGATCGTTGGCGCCCCGACCCCCCGAACACACGGTGCCGGGATCGAAAGGGTGCGTGGACGCCCTCATCTAGCCACAGACACTGTCATCCCAGCAGTCACCAACCTCACCCGCGCACCAACCGCCAACATAGCTGCCGTCGTCGATGTCATTGCCCACCGCTCCTGCGTTGCATGCGCTGGTNTCACCCCGGGATCGTTGGCGCCCCGAACCCCCGAACACACGGCGCCGGGATCGAAAGGGTGCGTGGACGCCCTCATCTAGCCACAGACGCTGTCATCCCAGCAGTCACCAACCTCACCTGCCCACCAACTGCCATCATCACTGCCGTCGTCGATGTCATTGCCCACCGCTCCTGCGTTGCATGCGCTGGTCGCCTCCCCAACCGATATGGTGGGGGAAACGTCACCGACGGTCGCCATCGTAGCGGCCGGTGCCGTCGCCGCGGTCGCGGGAGGTGCCGTCACCCATGTCGCCACTCCAGCCGTCGATACCGCGCTGCTGCCACCGCGGTGACTCCGGCCATCCCCCCCCGCGACCACTGCGGGAAAAACATGATCGCCCGCCGCCGCCACCGTCGCCGTCGGAACTACCGCTGATGCCGCCGCTCCAGCCGCCAACACGGAGACTCCGAGCACCCCCCCCGCCGCCGGGGAGAACACTACCGCCGGAGGTCACCGCCGTCGCCGCTGGAGCTGCTACCTATGCCACCGCTCCATCCGCCAACGCGGGTGCTCCGGATATTCCCCCCACCGCCGGCGCGGGGANCGCCACCGCTCTATCCGCCAACGCGGGTGCTCCGGATATTCCCCCCACCGCCGGCGCGGGGAAAACACGACCGCCAGGCGCTGCGGCCGTTGCCGCTGGAGCTGCTACCGATGCCACCGCTCCACCCGCCAACCGGGCGCTCCTGCCACCCCCCCGCCGCCACAGCGGAGAAAACACGACCACCGGA